ATATATATATATACTACATTTTTCTTATCCATTCATCTGCTTATGAACACTTAGGTGGATTTTTATATTTTTTTTTATTTATTTCAGCATATTATGGGGGTACAGATGTTTAGGTTACGTATGTCGCCCTTGGCCCCCCCACCCCCACTAAGTCCGAGTTTCAAATATGTCCATCCTTCGGGTGGTGCGCATTGCACTCTTTGTGTATGCAAATACCCGTCCCCTCCTCCCTCCTCCCCCCTCCCCCCTCATTACCTTTTATTTCTTATATTTTATCTAAATCGTAAGAGATAGAAGATTATGCTGTAGCAACTTAATTTCTGACCAGTTGCAAATAATTGTTTTGATTCATTCCTTCGCTTAAACTATCTTATTCTTTGCTTAGTAAGGCCATTAAGGGTGGAGGCAAAGTGGTGTATTGGAATGAGGACTAGCTTTCCAGTGATCTGGTTCCATTCCCAGCTCTGCCACTTATTGTTAAGATCCTGGGCAAGTTACTTAAGCTCTCAAAGCTTCAGGGTCCCCATCTATGACACTGAAATAATGTCCGCCCCAAAGGGGAAGGCACGAGGCTGAAAGGAAGCATCAGCTGTGAAGGCATGGGATCATGGTGTCTGGCGTATAAATTCCCTTTCCTTTCTTTTCCATTTGCATGTCTGAAAAATGCTGCTACATTTTTTCAGATCATGTATATAAAATATCATCTACAGAAGCTTATATGATGCCCCAAAACTGATACAAAAAGTAATTTCAAGGTAAAAGGCTAAAACAATTTTAGAGATTAAGTGAACCTTTAGGTGTTAGAAGATTCCAAAAGAAAGTCATTGGGACTGAAATTTGGGTCTGTAGTCCATATTTTTCTTTTATTGTATAGCAAATGACAAGCCTTCATTTTTGTTTGTTTATTTCCTTTACTATCAGAAAAATTAGGTAATATTTTAATAGTGTGAAGCAATTCATATTGCATGTATCAATTGACATAATACACATGAAATTGAAAACAGTCTTATTCATGTCATGATTAAATTATGTGCAATTTAGTATGATTGAAAAGAGCTGAGCCATCTGTTCACCTATGAAACAATAGAAACAGTAGTAGGCATGAGACTCAGAAAAAGCAGACCGCACAAGAAACTCTTCTCCCCCCTACCAAGGAAACGGTCTCACATAATTACAATAACGTAACTTTCTTTCTTTTCCTGGCTTAAAATGATCCTCCAGAGTAGGAAGCCCAGAAGAATAACGAGGTAAAACCATCCTCTTAAAGGTGAAGATTTGGAGTTTGAGTTGTTCAGTAGCTAAATACAGAGCCCATGTCAAACTGTGCGACCCTTTCCTGCGAGGTTTCTTTAAATTGCGTCACTGCCAAACACGCTCGGTGCTCTTCCCCAGCAATCGCTAAATCTGGCACCGACTTTCACAGTGACACTCTGCCAGCTGCCTTCAGAGCGAGGACCAATCCAGAAGCTCTCAGTTTGCTGCTGCTGAGATGAACTGAATTCTCCTCCCTGTAGGGGAGACACAGGAGAGAGACACACCCCTGCAAACCTCTTTGAACGCATGTCTCATCCAGGACTCTATCCACAACATGAAGGGTTTACAGATTTTTCAGGAGTTTTTAGAGCAACAGCCAGCAGGATCCAGTAAAGATATCTTTGGAAGTGTATGGCTGGATAGATACTTTTCAGGAGACAACCTTGATAGCTTACTGTTTTTTCCTCACCTTATTTTGTGATGTTTCTTTTTTTCATCTCACGATGTGCCATCAAATTTTCTTAAAGTCCCCTAAGTGTTCCAAGGCTAGTTACATATCTGTTCCTTGCTACTCTCCCGAATATTTAAACCTATGCCTACTGATTAAAGTGAAAGATCTATTGCAAGATTATTGTAAAAAGAAGAAATTTTGAAGTCTAGATTTTAACTGCATCATAATTTATCTTAAATATTTAATTGTTTTCTACAGGCTTATTTAAAAATTGTATTTACTGGTCTCAAGTAGGTTCTTTTAAATGTTAATTTCACAGGAACTCAAAGTTACGATAATTTTAGTAACTAATAAATTTTAGGTTAAAATGTTACCTAAAATAAGTGATTTGTTCTCCCCAAATAGTGAATCAAAGACTATTATTGTCCAGCATTGCAATTATGAGTGTTGGCACAGAAGATTTTAATTTCAGCCTAAGACAGCCAGATCTAGATTCTGGGTTTTTTAAATTTTCCTTTCTCTTTTATCTTTTTAATGCTTTTTCCTTATATGGAATTAATATTCTTATAGATTTGCTTCTTAGAAAATTCTAGTTGTTCTTCATCAGCACAATTGATATTGATTCACCAAAATCAAAACTTTCTGTTTACCTGATAGAAAATTCAATTAATTATCAAAATATTTACAAATAGCTGTGAATGCTTTCTCTAGGTACTGTCGTGCCTGAAGCACCTTCTTCTGTGATAGGAAATATGCACTATGAAATCTAGTCTAATCATTTTTCCTGACGGTGTTGGACAAATAACAAAGCCAATTCATCTAGACTGGCCAAACACATTTTTAAGACTGTTAAAAAATTGAATGGAATATGTGAAATCAAGGAGAATTTCTTCTGCAAATCTTTCTGAATTAGATGTATCAGAGGCACTAAAAGTGTCAGAGAATCTAACACTTAAATTATGGCATTTATATTACCATTAAACTGACCCTGAATCTACTGGAAAATTTTTATACTCTTCTGTTTTGTATTTCTTCTAAACAGCATTGACTGACTCGTGAAGCTGACATCATTCTCCAGGGTAGAAATGCCCTTAATCCATTGTCGTATTTGGGAGTTTAGTAGTTGAAGGTGTTGATTTTGTGTGTGTATATTCTGAAAAAGAGTTAGATTTATTTTATATCTCCCTCAATTAGTGAATTTTTAAGAGAAATTTACAGAAGTTGTTTTTCCATATTTCATTGTTAGCCAGAAATATTGACAACTGCACTCTGAAGGTCTGAAAATAGAAAGTGGATAACGTGACCCAGTTGAATTAATGTTTGGTGTTACCAAAATGTTTCATATTTTATATATAGTGATATTTAGAAATAGGTTTGAAAGAAATGTTTGTGTGACAAACTCCCAGAACGCAACATTTATAACATATTGTTTATCTTCCTTTAGAAACTGAGCTTCTATAACAGTTGCCTTAGGGCACAAACAGAAAATTAGCAGGTGCCTATTTTTCTGACATCAGTTCTTCAGATTCTTTTTTTCTAAAAACAGATATACTTTATTAGTGGTTTCCCCAATTTGATGATCTGGCAAATATTAGACTCATTACCAATTTTTGATTATTAATGTGTCACATTATAACCAACAACACATTTTTAAGAAAAATGAGGAGTCTGGAAGCATTTACATCTCAAAATTCCAACTTTGTCCTGATGTGTCTCCACTGGGCAAAGCTGGATGATCTCATTCTAAATATTTATCCAGTTCTTTAGGAAAAGGTGATCAGACTAGATTTTACTGCACCTGTACTTTTACTGATGTGTTTGAAAAAGGAAATAAGAAAATACCTTGCTGAATTATATCAGGCAGCTCCTCATTCTTTTTCAAGGAAATTCCAGATTTAGAAACATTAGAATCATAGAATGGAAGAGAGATCAGAGAACACTGAGTCCATTCCCCCTCCCAATTCTTTTATTTCCCAGCTATCATGGCCACGTCATGAGGATTTAGAGCCCGAGATGGAGAAACAGAGGTAGATGAAGGTCTCATTATTAGACTTGGGGCCAGTCTGTGGTCGTAACTAAACTCGGTGTTACTTTCCAAATCCTGCAAATTGGAGAAAGACTGCTAATGACTGTGAAATGGGTGAGAGCACAAGGAAGAAGCCGAAAACAACTTAATAGGATCAGTTTTTTGGTTTTTTTTTCAGGCAAACAGGTATATTGTGCACATCTCACATCAAAACAGTGACAGGATATTTTATGGAAGTGCTTTTCAAAACTGTAGATCTTTATGTGTTTACATTGGTAGTCTTTATAGTGGGGTTTCAGTATAAGAGGGAAAATACATCATTTATGCTTTGCTTTTTGAATCCAATAAAACAGATTATAATAAAGAAGGAGAATAACAATAATATGAAGTCAGAAAAATAAAGTATTAGTAAAATGACCTTGCCATCAACTTGGGATGAGTAGCCACTTGTGAAGATGTCTATGAACAGCTCGTGAGGAGCCTCATGAATCACAGGAAGTGCAAAGGACATGCTGGTGCAGAGGCGTCATGTGATCCAATAACCACCAATTGCTTCTGTGTTTGCTGTTCAGCTATTCGTGTTTACTGACTCATATTTAGTAAAAGAATTAATGTTCTTAGAACTTCCTTGTGATATGTTTGTTCTTTGTTCAGAATTTGATTATGAATGGATATTAGGGAAATTTGGCTTTGCTAGGTGACTTTTTATTCCCAAGACAATCGATCAGAAGTTTTGTTTTGTTTTGTTTCTCTTTTGTTTCATTGTGTTTTGTTTTTACATCAGGGCATATAGCACTTGAAGAGAGGAAAAAATAGTCTGCCCAAAGATCCCTTACATGAGACATAACAGGAAAAATCCCAAATCAATTCCAGTCAAAAGATCATTGAGTAATCTCATTTTTCACAATGTTTAAAGCTGTTATGAAGATTATGCCATACCAAATAGTAAATCTCCCTTGAAAGATATATTATTTGTAACAGTAGAATAAATCTTCCCTCTGGCAGGAATTATGAGCACTGAGCCATATATAGCCATTTTGATAGCTAAGGAGTTCCCGGTACTTCCCTCTGTAGATTATAACAAGTGATAAATGTTTTTGGAATAAAGCAAAATCCAGGTACACCAGCATTCGTATTAAGAAGCAGACAAAGTGCGTATTAGATTATAAAATAATAACAACCATTTTCTCATAGTTGATTGCCAATGTAGACAGTATCTGGTCATTATTAAGAGAGAAGAAAATTAATGTGGCTCTTTTCCCCCCACAGGTTCAGGATGCGTTTAGATGCCGATTGAGAAACTGCCAGGATCCAATCAATGCTGATTCCTCAAGTTCTTTTCCTAATGGGCATGCTCAAATCATGGTGAGTTTTTATTTTTCCTCTGTTAAGTACATTATGATCTCTCAAGAACATAAAAAAAAAAAAAAATCCCTGTTGGTAAAATGGTATCCCATTTCGAGAGACTTCGGCTTTAGTTCATTAACAGACTTAGAACTCTGATACCGGATAAGTATTCTGTCTGGATTGCTTGGGAGTCCAGGATTTGTTGTTGGCCCCCTGGGGTGTTGAGTCTGGCAGTCCTCTGCAACACTGCCTAGTATTTTCAGCCTTACACAGAATTAGGTCTAATGATTTTTGCATAGGCTTTTTTTTTATTATTATAAGTGTTATTGTTTTTTATTTCAATAGATTTAGAGGGTACAAGTGTTTTTTGTTATATGGATAAATTGTATAATGCTGAATCAGGGCTTTTAGTGGACCCATCACCAGAATAGTGTACATTGTACCCGACAGGTAATTTTTTATCCCTCATACCCCATCCACTGTGCCTCTTTCTTAGTTTCCACTGTCCATTACAACACTCTATGACCACATACACCCATTGTTCAGAGTCCCACTTATAGATGAGAACATGTGGCATTTGTTTTTCAGTTCCAGAGATACTTCACTTAGGATAATGGTCTCCAGTTCCATCCAAGTTGCTGCAAAAAGCATTATTTCATTCCTTTTTATGGCTGAGTAGTATGCCACAGCATATGTGTGTGTATGTTTTATACATACACATACTGTATTTTCTTTATCCAGTCATTAGTTGATGGACACTTAGTTTGATTCCATTTCTTTGAAATTGTGAATCATGCTGTGATAAACATTCAGGTGCAGGTATCTTTTTGATGTAATGATTTCTTTTCCTTTGGGTAGATACCCAGTAGTGGGATTGCTGGATTGAATGGTAGGCCTACTTTTAGTTCTTTGACATAGGAATTTTTTTTAAACAGATCGGAGCATGATGGGACCTGTGCTTCTAGTCTTAAAGCAGTAGTTCTAAACCTTACCGGCAAATTGGAATCATCACAGGAGCTGCACACCCCAGATTAATTAACATCAGAATCTTGGGAGTGGGACCCAGGTAGCCATGATTCCAATGTGCAGCCTACTAAGAGAACCACTGTCCTAAAACATAAGGAGTAGCCACTCTTCCAGTGAAACATCAGTTATTGCACATGAGGTTTGACTATTGGAATTAAGGGGTACTTTAGGCATAACCATTTTGATGTATTTTAGAAATGAGCTAAGATTGAAACTGTGTCATTAAAAGCAGAATGTAAATAGGAAA